GGACGACATATGAAATTCAAACCAAAGACTTCTTGGGTGAAGGAGAAAGCACCAAGGCATTGGACCAAAGCATCCATTTGGTTATATTCATATAACAAATAATATATATCTTGTATATTAGTAAATTTTTCTTTAGACAACAAATAATATAATTAACAAATAAAAATTAAGAATATTTTTTACATTAATAAAAAAATAAAAATATATAAACATATTAAAATTTGTCTTTAATTATATTATTTAATACTATATATATTTATTAATATAATACGAATATAATATTTTATATTAACAAAAAATGTGAATTTAATATTTTATATATATCTTAATTCTTAAATTTTAAAAATATTTTTTATTTTCATCTTAGCTTATTAAATATATTTTATTTTTATTTTAATGTAAAAATATATATTTTATTATCTTCACTTAAAAATATTTTTTTTTTACTTTTATCTTAATTTTTAAACAAATATTTTTTAAATATATTAATTTAAAATATTTTATTATTATTTTAATATATATATATATATATATTCATATTTTTTTGTTAATGTAAAAAAATATTCTTAATTTATATATATTAATTATATTATTTGTTGTCTAAAGAGAAATTTACTAAAATATAAGATATATAGTATTTGTTGTATAAAGATAACCAAATGGATGTCTTGGCCCAATGGTTTGGTGCTTCCCCCTCACTCAAGGGGTCCTTAATTCAAATCCCACTTGCCCCCTAAACCTTCTATCAAATTAGCTGACCCTTATTCCCATATGTAATGGGGTAAGGAGGAGGTAGGATAATAGGTTGTCTCTAACGCCAGATTGAGAACAACTTCCATAGGAGACTTCCGAATTATGAAATGTCTTCCATGGGACTCAATCCCACGACCCTAAGGTTAAAAACCCTAAACCTTCTATCAACTAGATGGTAAACCTTCTTTCAACCAGAGAGTGACAAAGTAAATTTATTAAATTAAAAATAAATTTTAATGCTCCAATCGAATGATGACACATGTCATTATTTTAATTTATTAAAATGAGGACCAAATTAAAAGAATATATAAGTAATATATACTAATTTTGTAATTAGACAAAAATATTTTTAACAATCACGTCACATGTTTCGTTAATTGTTAACAACAAGTGGTTTGATTGAAATATTTAAATAATTTGATAATACGTTTGATCAAATTAAAACATCAATTATCAAAAAGAGTTTTAACCATAATTGAGTGTCACCCGTGTAGTTTCCCCTTAATATATGTACTAGACTGAATTTTTAACGTTATATGATTAGATTTTCCCCTTTAATTTTATACATGAAGTATTTCATTATCAATCAATTTGTCCGTTTACGTTATGGAATTTGATGTGATAATAATAAAACACACATCATTTTTTCAATATATATATATATATATTAAGATGTGGAAATGACCATCCAGCTCAGTTGGTAGAGCACAAGGTTCTTAACCTTGAGGTCGTGGGATCGCCACGGAGGGCATTTCATAATTCGGAGGTCTCTTACGGAAGCTGCTCTCAACCTGGTGTTGGGGGTAGCCTACTATCTTACCTCCCCTTACCCCATATATATGGGAAAAAGGGACAACCATATATATATATTAAGATGTAACAACAAAATTAATCTTTAATATTTTATTAATTTTTATTTCCATAATTAATATTTAAAAATACATAAAACGTAAATATTTATTTAAAAAAAAGAATAAAAACATTTATTTATAATACACATAAAATTGTCATGCCCATACAACGAGTTCTATAAAATATTTTTAAAAGTTAAAACTTATTGGAAAAAAATTATATGAAACTTATGATGTCTATGACAGTTCCAACAACAATATATTAAATAATTTAGATTTGAAATTAATTTGTTTTTGATAAAAACAACTAATATTCAAAATAGGAAATATCACAAGTTACAATAAATATTTATAATCATAATCGTAAATTAAACACATAATTAGAAAAAATTCCTATAATCATTGAAATAAAAGCTAACAACTTAAGATCACATAAGGACCATACAAGGGAAGATTAAAAATCTAACCAATAAACTCAAACAAAGATGGATACAAACATATCTGATCGCATCGGCAAACGAACTACAAAGGATGATTAAACTATTGAAAGGCCGCCGACGAACTGCAAGTCAGGCTCGAGCAACTTGAAAAGCTATCCAAGAACACAAATCGGGTATCCAGATCCAATCCGAGGGTCTAACGTAGGGAATATCAACAAGATATCATATAAGTGTAATCTTGATCAGTCGTGGCGATGTCAAATCAATCTTAGAAAAAGATAAATGAAAAAATGGTCAAACGATTGAAAAACATGCCGAAAGACAGAAGAAAAATGTGTCATAAAGACAAATAAAAACATGCCATACATACAGACTTATTGAAAATAAAAAAAAGAAAAGAAAATATATATACAATATAAAAAATATAATTAAAATACCGACAATCGATAATATTAAAATTAGTATTGTCGCCGATCAACAAAGATGAAAAAGAAAAGGGATAAGCACGCAAATAAGAGAAAACTAAATTTCTTTCAATAGCATATGATTGTTTATCCCCAAACTAATTTTCTAACACCACATTTCCAAAATCTTTTTAATCTCTCCAGGTACAAAAATGAAAGAAGAGAAAACATCGTCGGTTGTTGTAAATAATGTAATTCAACCATTATCTGAATCAGAATTCGTAAAACACTACCAGACAGGGAATCATTAAATGATCTGATTGAATCCTTGACCTGCTTGCCCTACAAATTCATCCAGCTCTTGCCTTATTGACAATTTTAATTTATTTTTTAAGAAGAAGAAGAAAAAACTCTTCCTTCGAACTTCATCAAGGCGTCACTTTTACGTCAAACAAGAGATTTGATCTCATCTAGGAAAATCAGGCAGACATCTTCATTTGTTTATTTTTATTTGGTAATGACAACAGGACAAAGAGGTCTTGATCAACACCATCACGCTCACTTTGTAATTCAATTAATCTAAGGACTTCCCGTCTAATCTTATCTGTTAAGATTGAGGATAATCCCAAATTTTGGCATTGGCCATAAATCCTTCCTGTTAGTCTGGATAAATATGCCTAATTATCCCTAGTTATTAGGATGGAAATAGTTAATCATGTAACAAAACAAACAAAAGCTACATTTTTCCTTTTTGGGTTATAGAAGAGCTAAAAATGTCTTTTTTAGGACAGGTAACAGAAATGAAAATCACTTTTGTTCGAATTTATAGCCCCATAACATCAGATGCTGACGTTTCAATCCATGGCTAGCCTGCATACCTCTAACCCCATTCCAAAAGTTCAGCTATTTAAACCACATTTCTGAGGATTTTTGCAGGAAAGGGAAGAGAGGTGTGGCCATTATTTAACAAGACTTGCAGGAAAAGTATAACCATAATTAAACTTCTGAAGGAATCGTTATACAAATCGATACATGGCCTAAGGAGTGGTCGAGGCTCATCTATTGTCTCTCGAATCACACGAACAGTCCCTATTGTTCATAGATGAAGGTTCCATATGGTTAAACTCTGGTTTTATGTACAAATAGGTATATCCATTTCTAAGGCCAGAAAAAAAAATGTATGATGGGAGGAATGTTATGGTTTAGTCATCCTCATTTTCTGAATCAGGGTTTCCATAGACAATAGAGAAATAGAAACCTACTGTTTTAAGTGTAAGGCCTGGAAACCTGTGAGAAGTGAGAACTATCGGGTCACAGGTCTACCTTGATAAAAGGCCACTTCATGGCTTGCGTGGCCTCGCACTCTTCCCATCCATCTCCAATTGCACAAAAGCGGGTATTTCGACTGTCGAAACGTGCCTTGATCCACTGGAAACATTGTAGTATCCGTACATCCCATGAACTGTGAACTGCAGAATAAATGATGAGTTTATTAAAGAAATCACATTGAAGAGTACCATGTGGTCAATACAGTATGCATGCAATCAAGTGACAACTATAAATATGAGAATCACCTGGACCCTTTAAACTACAAGGAATGGAAGTGTCGAGCAAGTATTCTAAAAGAGCTTGATACACTGGTTAAAAGCTTTCTTCAACTGAAAAAGATGTGCATTTAACCGACAATTACGCTACTCTTGATTACTTCAAGATTCATATATTGCACAAAATATGAGGGACCTTTATGGTTATGCACATAACAAGAGGACGTTTGCTAACTTTTCTGGAAAAATCCTTTGGTATCTATGCCAAGGACCTGAAATCAAATATTAAACTTGGCATGAACAGAAGAAAGAAGACGATAGGAGGATAGATTATAAGAGAGAGCATAGTAGAGGCCGGTGCTAACAATTTCGACATGTACTAAGATTACTCACCATTTTCATATGATATCGAATTGTCGAGTCGAAAGAGTAAACATTTAACGAGGCTAGGAATCAAAGACCCAGAAGTCACCAAAACATTTATGTGCCGGGATGCTGTAGCATTATAAAAATAAGAGTCTGAGCGACATAGGTTTTAATTAAATTAGTCATTGTAGATTGGGATCTTGATCACTACAACGTTATTGTTATCGTCGATGCTGGTCATAAAAGTGGTGGTGGTGGAAGTGATAGTAAGATTTATGAAATTATTAATTTGAGATGTGACGATGGAAGTTATTTTTATTATTGATAGGTCTTGATTAATTTAAAGAGGTGTTGAGTTAAGGAAATAAAGGGTAGTATGATAGTAGAGGTAAGAAAAAAATATTTTTGACGCATTATTTATTTTATTTGTAATTAAATTTAATTTATTTAAATAAAAATATTAAAATTAAAAGGTATGCGAGGTGTTTTGATTAGTCATTTAATTTCTTTTAATAGAATTAACATTTTAAGACAAATAATATTTTAAGACAAATAATATAACAATTTAAATGTCAAGGAGTAAAATATAATAAAAATAATTTAAAAACCAACATATAATTTAAGGAGTAACGATGCATTTAAGCCTAAACGACTTTAAGCAGCGTAGTTTCCTAGGTCTCCCTCTCTCTTTCCCCCTTGAGCACTCGAACAAAGTAAGCTACCCAAATCTCGTAAGTCTTTCTACTTTGTCTCTCTTGATATTCCCTTTTGATTCTTGTATTCATCTTTGTATTTTGATCTGTTTGCCATATTTTCTTGCGGTTTTTTTAATATTTTAAATTCATTTGAATCTTGATTTGTTTATATTGTATTGATAAAGGAGAGAAAAGAAAACATAAGCAGATGGGTTGCACTAGAGACAAGCATATACGATCCGCCCGAAGGACTCAATCGGTGAAACATGAGATCGATCATTGCTGCCTTCTTGATAAAGCTTCAATATCCAAATCCATACTCGAATCAGGTATCAAACCCTTGAATTACCATTTGGGTGTAAACGACTCGGCCCAAAGCCCTAATCATAACCCTAATAACAGTACCGATGCTAATGATCATGGTTTGGGGTATTGCACTGAGGAAGAATTAGAGGAAATTTTATTGAAAAACCTGGGATTTTTATACAATGAAGCGATATCTAAGCTTATATCGTTAGGTTACGATGAGGATGTTGCATTAAAGGCTATATTGAGAAATGGGCATTGCTATGGTGGAATGGATGTTTTGACTAATATTTTGCACAATTCATTGGCTTATTTGAATAGTAGTTGTGATAGTAGTAACGGGGGTAATTCAGAGGAATCTGAGTCTGGTTTTCCGGATTTGAGGCAATTGGAGGAATACTCGCTTGCTGGTATGATTTGTTTGTTGCAGCAAGTTAGGCCTCCTTTGAGTAAAGGTGATGCTATGTGGTGTTTGCTTATGAGTGATCTTCACGTGGGTAAGGCTAGTACTATGGAGATTCCATCACTTCCTTCACCCACTAATGCATGTAGTCCGATGTCAAATGACCTAGAGAGTGTTGATAATAATGGGGTTGGTGTTATGTCACCGGCGATGTATAGATTTCATGGTGGCTGGGGTTTTGGGAACGGAGGTGAGTTTGCAGTGAATGGGTTATTTTCCTGTAATGCTGGAATGACTTTGCAGAGGGATATCGAGTGTCCAAAGAGGATCAATCTTTCACCTTCAATGAAGTCTTTGTTGAAAAAGAATGTTGCAATCTTTGCTGCTAGTTTTAGAGCTAATTCAAAACAAATGCAGACACAAAATCAGGCTTTTGCGGGCACAATGTCAAGGGGGGATGCCCCACTGGCTGTTGCTGGGGGTGAAGTTTCTGCTGAGAAATCAGAGGAGTCGCAGACTTTGATCAGTCAGGATGGGGTTAATTCAGTATTGAGTAAATTTCGTGATTTAAATATTGATGAGAATTTAGAGTATGTTGGGGAAGATCAGAAAAGTGAGATGATAATTTCTCTGCTTCATCAGATAAAGGATCTCGAGAAGCAAGTGAAAGAGAGGAAGGACTGGGCTCATCAGAAGGCAATGCAAGCTGCAAGAAAGCTTAGTAGTGATCTAACAGAGCTTAAAATGCTGAGGATGGAGAGAGAAGAGATGCAGCAAATGAAGAAGGGGAAAAACACAATAGATGACTCAACCATGAAAAGGTTGTCAGAGATGGAGAATGCACTGCGGAAAGCTAGTGGACAGGTGGATCGTGCAAATGCAGCTGTGAGACGGCTTGAGACTGAGAATGCAGAAATCAGAGCTGAGATGGAGGCATCTAAATTGAGTGCATCAGAATCAGTCACAACCTTTCTGGAGGTTGCGAAAAGGGAGAAGAAGTGCCTGAAGAAGCTTTTGACTTGGGAGAAACAGAAAGCTAAGTTGCAGGAGTTGATTGCTGATGAAAAGGAGAAGATTAAAGATCTTCAACAATGCTTAGCTCGAGCAGAGAAGGATCAGAAAGAAACTGAGGTGAATTTCCTTTACATATTGACACAAATGCTCACATGCATATTTACTCCATCATTTTAGGCTTAGTTTTATTGTTATCTTGGAGTGAAACAGAGGGAGATCTATTCAACTTCCTGAATGTGTATCGGGAATTCTTCTTCTTGTAGAGTTTATAATAATTTACCGGCTTAGGGACCCCTTTACATTAGCTAACTAGTCTAGATATCTAAAGGTTTTACGTTATACAAGCATGTGATCCTTTAATCCTTTTAGAATCTGGAATACATGTTCTGGATTTATGTAGCATTTACAAATAAGTGATAGGAGAATCTGTTGGAAAGGGCGGGATGCATTATTTTGGGTGTAAAATGACCAGCCTAGGGAGGCAAGTTCTCTTAGAAGCAGCCAAAGAGAATTCTTAGTGCACAAAGGGGCTCTTAAAGATGTGCTTGTGAAATTGCTTAAATTTGGTCTGCAAACTAGTAACTCTTAACTCTTTATCATGTAGCTCAGTTTCCCCTTTTCCTTTTCGCGGATGAGGGGCTGATCTTTTCCTTGTTTCCTTTCTTTTAATAATCTATGAGTGTGCATTTGTTCTATTTGATATTAATATTTGATTTATATTCTATTTTATTTATGTTTTTGGAAGGTTTAGTAATTATGTATTTGTGTGATTGACCCTTTTATGTTCATTTTCTGTTTCATATTTTTCTCAAATTGACTAGTGCGCTTGTCCAGAGTTATGATCTCATTATCTTGAATATATTTTATGCTGTGTCATTTACTTCTTCTACAGTCAAAGTGGAGAGAGGAGTTAAAGGCCAAAGAGCTTGCCTTGGCTCAAGTGGAGCAGGAACAATGCTCCAAGGAAGCAACTGAAGCGAGCAATAAAAGAAAGCTTGAGGCTTTGCGCCTGAAGATAGAGATAGACTTTCAGCGTCACAAGGATGATCACCAACGACTTGAGCAGGAGCTTTCTCGTCTGAAACTATCTGCACAATCTACAGAGTTGAATCATCAGTCAGATAATTTATTCACAGGAAAGTCAGAAGGGGCAAAGCCACAGGGAGAAACAATTACTAAGCTGCTTCATGAATTAGATACACTAGAGGATTCTTCAGAGAACGAAGTTAACGGTGATAGAGAATGCATAATATGTTCCAAAGATGAAGTCTCTATTGTTTTCCTGCCTTGTACACACCAGGTTCTATGTGCCAAGTGCAATGAAAATTTTGGGAAGAAGGGTAAAGCTACTTGTCCATGCTGCCGGGTGCCGATTGAACAGAGGATTCGTGTTTATGGTGCTAGTTCATAATGTGTATTTTCTGTTTATTGTCCAAGCTGCCTGGTATTACGCAGTTATACTTTCCTAGCGCCATTGAGAATGCTGGGTTTTGCATATACCTGCCTTAAACTAAACTTGCTGCTAGGACTTTAGCATCAGGTTGAGAACCTGAATATATAACTTCCATATGTTCTATTAATAATATGATATTTTCCCAATCCAATGGCCTGAATTAGTTCATGCTGAGTTCTTAGCTATTGCAAAATGGAAACCCATTTCTATATTCTTTTATTGTTCCATGACTATAGTAGACAAGTGCTAAATCATGAATGGCATCAAGCAGCAGATATCAACCACAATAATAATAATATGTAGCCCCAATAATATCAGTACAAAAGTTGATGTTTCTTTTCTGCATAGTAAGGATTATTCTTTTTATCAAGAACATGGGTTTCATTAGACAAATAAACCAAAGACAACGAAGCAACAAGCCCTTTCCTTTGGTTATATTGCATAACCCTTCCTTCTCTTTCAAGTTAACCTTGAACGCCAGTATTTGCTTAGTTACCTGCATGTAGTCCGTGATCATCCCCTGCCACAACTACATTTTCGTAGGCAAACAAAACCTACCTTTTAACTCCAATCTCTCATTGTTGTTGTTGCATCTCTCGGTCAACCATCGGTGCAAATCCAACCACAATCTTTGTTTGTCAATGATGATTTACTTCCACGAGAAGTTAATGAAGTTTATACGGTAGTTGAGAACAAATGGCAGCTGTTTTTCGTAACCTATGCTCATCTCCGGGCTGTATATTCACAATTTATTTGTCTAGATTTTTCCTTTATTAAGACCATAAATAAACTGGTAAATATGGCTACCAGAGTTCATGTGGGAATGGAAACGGAAAGGAACGGACATGGTGAAACTGAAATGGTTAAGAACAACAAGAAGAAACGCCTTCTTGAATTTTCCAGGAAAACAAAGAAATTTCCAGGTTGGTTGCAGCGAACCATTTGGAAAGTTGGTCGAGAAGATCCTAGAAGGTTGATACATGCTGTCAAGGTTGGTTTGTCGTTTACACTGGTCTCTCTGTTGTATCTGAAAGAGTCATTGTTCAAAGGGATCGGCACCACCACACCAGTGCGATTTGGGCCGTCCTGATGGTGATTGTTGCGCTGGAATTCACAGCAGGTTTGGTTTTCTCGTTGGAATTTTCATGGCCCTGCAATAGTTTTCTTGATGCACAAACAATATGTTGACTCTTTGTTTAGGTTTGAAAAGGTGCAGGATTTTGCAAAGGCTTGAATAGGGGATTAGGGACAGTGTTAGCCGGATCATTGGCATTTCTTATCGAGTTTATTATGACCAAATCCGAAAAGTTTTTTCGAGCTGTGTTCATCGGAGCTGCAGTTTTTCTGATAGGCAAGTAATTAAAAACTTCAATGGAAAATTTTCTTCTTTATATCCACTGTCTTTTTAATTTGCTTGTCAATTAACAGGAGCTGCTGCCACATACATGAGATTCTTTCCCTATATAAAGAACTATATGACTATGGTGTTGTGGTATTCCTCTTGACCTTCAATTTGATCACCGTGGCAAAGTTCCGAGTCGAGAACGTATTAAAGATCACACATGATCGATTCTACACCATTGCCATCGGCTGCGCCATTTATCTTTTCATGAGTCTTATGGTATTTCCGATTTGGTCAGGTGAAGACCTCCATAATTGCACCGTAGGCAAGCTTGAAGGGCTAGCTAAATAAATATATAGAAGGTATATCTATAGACTTAAACAACTGCAATCAATGTCTTGAGTGCTTTCTTCTTTTCCATTCTTTATTAACTTCACTCCATATTGACGTAGCTTGTGTCAATGAGTACTTCAATGATTCCCAGATAAAAGAAAACCAAGAAATCAAAGACCTCTGCATTCGAGTAGCTGGAGAAGTAACCAAAGCACTAATGGAACTCGCAAACAGCATCAGAATATGGCATTAGCAGCTGCACATGCTGCCCGCCGTAGCATTAGTCAAATATGGCATTTGTCCTTCCCAATTTTCAGACTAAAATATTTAATACATCTTTATTCTTTTTTATATAATTTGAATATCAGTTTGTTGAGAATATGTGGATGGTTTATTTGCCTGTCAGAATAGATTATGCAATTTTTAGAGAACGTTTATAATTAGTTTGAGTCGAGATAATAAATCAAAGTGTAAATTTAGAAATGTTCAGAATTTTCTTAATTAATTGACAACAGATAAATGTATGCACCCTTCAAAATAATTATTTTAACTCGAATTCTTTAAGAACGATCCCACCTTTATCACTAAGGTATATTGCTGACAAAAAGGCGGCGAGCAGGAGATATATGGTGCTGTACTGATGTACTGATTCCGAAACATCTCCAATAATGCATCATTCAACTTGGGCTGGGCTTCAAAACGACGGGACCATGTTATTGCCTTAGCTGGTTGTATTCCTTAATTATTTAACATGATATGCTTTTTAAATAAAAAATGTATACTATCACAGTTAATTTTTGAACAACATAATATTAAATATAATTTTTAAATAGAATATTAAATGATGAAAATGAAATAAAAGTAATAGTTAAGATGTTAAAAGTGTATAATTTATCCTTTATATATAAATATATATATTACTGCCACTAGGGGTGTATTCGGTTCGATTCGGTTCGGTTTTTTACCAAAAACAGAACCGAATCGAAATAAACGGTTTTTTAATATTTAAACCGAAATCGAATAGTTAAAAAATCGAAAAAACCGAAACCGGTTTTTTCGGTTCGGTTCGGGTTTTTTAACGGTTTGGGTTTTTCGGTTCGGTTCGGTTCGGTTTTTCGGTTTTTCAATGAAAAAAATCACTTAAAACTATAATTTTTTTTTACAAAAATTACCTATTCGGTTCAATATGGAACAAATGGGTTCCATATGGAAAACCCGAACCGAACCGAATCAAAAAAATGAAACCTTTAAACCGAACTAAAAACCGAACCATTTAAAACTAAACCGAACCGAACCGTTTAAAATCAAACCGAACCAAACCATTTTACTCGATTCGTGTCAATTTTCTCGATTTCGTTGCTCACCCCTAACTGCCACTAATAATTATATGCCGCGCATTTTCCTAGTTCTCCATCTCCCTAACCTCTCTATTTCCTATTTCTCCCTGTAACAATCAAACCAAAGAAGCCTTTTTTATTTACCCAAATCTCGTAAGTCTTTCTTATTTGTCTCTCATAGTCTTGACATACCCTTTTGATTCTTGTATTTATCTTTGTATTTTGATCTGTTTACCATATTTTCTTGCATTTTTTAATATTATAAATTCTTTTGAATCTTGATTTGTTGGTATTGTATTGAGAAAGGAGAGAATAGAAGACATAAGCAGATGGGTTGCACTAGAGAAAAGCATATACGATCGGCCCGGAGAACCCGATCGGTGAAACATGAAATCGATCATTGCTGCCTTCTTGATAAAGCTTCAATATCCAAATCCATACTTGAATCGGGTATCATACCCTTGAGTTTCCATTGGGTGTAAACGACTCGACCCAAAGCCCTAATCTTAACCCTAATAACAATATCAATGCTAATGATCATGGGTGGGGGTATTGCATTGAGGAAGAGTTAAGAGGAAATTTTATTGAAAAACCTGGAATTTTTATACAATGAAGCCATATCTAAGCTTATATCGTTAGGTTATGATGTGGATGTTGCATTAAAGGCTATATTGAGAAATGAGCATTGATACGGTGGAATGGATGTTTTGACTAATATTTTGCACAATTCATTGGCTCATTTGAATAGTAGTTGAGATGTAATGGGAGTAATTCAGAGGAATCCGAGTCTGGTTTTCCGGATTTGAGGCAATTGGAGGAATATTCGCGTGCTGGTATGATTTGTTTGTTGCAGCAAGTTAGGCCTCGTTTGAGTAAAAGTGATGCTATGTGGTGTTTTCTTATGAGTGATCTTCCTGTGAGTAAATCTAGTACGATGGAGATTCCATAACTTTCTTCACCCACAACTGTGTGTAATCCGGTGTCGAATGACCAAGAGAGTGTTGATAATGATGGGGTTGGTGTTTTGTCACCAGCGATGTGTAGATTTCATGGTGGTTGGGGGTTTGGGAACGGAAGTGAGTTTGCAGTGAATGAGTTTTTTGATAAAAGAAATGCCTCATTAAAGACCCCTTCATATCCTACATGTTTTATAGGTAACATGAAGGACATAGGAAGGAGGACTAGAGTACCTTTGAAATTCATTACTCCGTACAGCCACTTTCTAGTTTTAGACTGCTTAACATAAGATTTAAAAACAAATAGCATACTGCAGTCATAAAACTAGAACGTAAAAATCTGACTCAGTACTCTGACTCAAGAACCTCTACATAAAACCACTTAATTAACCGATACCAGCCTTGGCTAACTCATCCGCTTCCCAATTGGCAGCTCTCATAATATGTCTTGAGATGATGCCCTGCCCTTGCACAAAATTAGCTACACCTGTAACCAGTGTTTGAAATAAAGGGGTACATAGAACAGGGTTTTTAATCCACTTCAGAGTTGTGGCTGAATCCGTTTCCAAGATAATCCTGTGGCTAGGAAGAAAACCTGCTCCTTCGATGGAGACAGACCTCTTTTGATCACCATTAACTCTGCAAGAACAGGAGGACCACCTCCAATTTTTTCAGAGAATGAGCCAAGAACCGAACCCCTGTCAGTGTCATTCCTAATCAAACCTCCTATACCACCTTTGTCCCATCCCATAGCCATTGCCCCATCAACATTGAGTTTGAGGAAACCTTCTGGAGGAGGTTCAATCTTTCACCTTCAATGAATTCTTTGTTGAAAAAGATGTTGCAATCTTTGCTGCTAGTTTTAGAGCTAATTCAAATCAAATGCATATACAAAATCAGGCTTTTGTGGGCAAATTGTCTAGGGGGATCCCCCTCTGGCTGTTGCTGTGGATGAGGTTTCTGCTGAGAAATCAGGAGTCACAGACTTCGATCAGCCAGAATGGGGTTAATTCAGTATTGAGTAAATTTTGTGATTTAAATATTGATGAGAATTTAGAGCATGTTGGCGCAGATCAGAAAAGTGAGATGATAATATCTCTGCTTCATCAGATAAAGGATCTTGAGAAGCAAGTGAAAGAAAGGAAGGACTGGGCTCATCAAAAGGCAATGCAAGCTGC